TTGCTCATCATTCCTCCTTCTCTGCAACTGGATTCTAGTTTGGCTGAGTGTTTAGCTGTGGGTGTCTGCTTCTGCTTCCATCAGCTACTGGATGAAGGCTCTGGGATGGCATATAAAGTAGTCATCAATCTCATTATCAGGGGAGGGTATTTAAGGTAGCCTCTCCATTGTTGCTTAGATTGTTAGTTGGTGTCATCCTTGTTGATCTCTGGACATTTCCCTAGTGCCAGATTGCTCTTTAAACCTATAATGGCTCCTTCTACTTGGTATCTCTTATCTTGCTCTCCTCTATTCTTCCCCTAACTCAAACTTCCTGCTCCCTCATGTCCTCCTCTCCCCTCTTCTTCTCCTATTCTCATTTTCCTAGCTCCCTCTTCCCTCCCCCCATGCTCTCAATTTGCCCAGGAGATCTTGTCCCTTTCCTCTTCTCTGAGGGACCATGTATGTCTCTCTTAGGGTCCTCCTTGTTTCCTAGATTTTCTGGCAGTGTGGATTGTAGGCTGGCAATCCTTTGCCTTATGTCTAAAATCCATATATGTGAGTACATACCATGTTTGTCTTCTTGTGACTGTGGTTTCTGCTAGTTCCATCCATTTGCAAATTTAAAGATTCTGTCCCCACCACCACCACTGAGTGGTACTCCATTGTGTACTACATTTTCTCTATCCATTCTTCAGTTGAATGGATAAGGTGGCTTCATGTTTTCTAATACTTCTTTTCTCTCTCCATTTTCTCTATCCATTTCTTTTCTCTATCCATTCTTCAGTTGAGGGGCATCTGTGTTGCTTCCAGTTTCTGGCTATTACAAACAATGCTGCTATGAACATGGTTGGACAGATGTCCTTGTTGTATGAATGTGCATCTTTTGGGTATATGCCTAAGAGTGGAATTGCTGGATCTTGTGGTAGACTGATTCCTATTTTCCTGAGGAATTGCCATACTAATTTCCAAAGTGGCTGTATGACTTGGTACTCTCAACAGCAGTGGAGGAGTGTTCCCCTTTCTCCACATCCTCCCCAGCATAACTGTTGTTGGTACTTTTGATTTTAGCTATTCTGACAGGAGTAAGATGATATCTCAGTTGTTTTGGTTTGCATTTCCCTGATTGCTAAGGATGTTGAGCCCTTTCTCAAGTGTCTATCAGCCATTTTAGACTCCTCTATTGAGAATTCTCCATTTAGTTCTGTACCCCACTTTTTAATTGGGTTATTTGGTGTTTTGGAAACTAGCTTCTTGAGTTCTTTGTAAATTTTGGATATCAGCCCTCTGTTGGATGTTCAGTTGGTGAATATCTTTCCCCATTCTGTGGACTGCCATTTTGTCTTGTTGATTGTATCCTTTGCTTTACAGAAGCTTCTCAGTTACAGGATGCTACGCCCACGGCGGTCACGCCGGTGTAGCAGAAGATGCCACTAAGGTGGGCTAAGACCGCTGGGTTGGGGTCTACGCTCCCTGGAGATGAGCCCCAGGTGGTTCCCTGGCAATCAGCTGCGATCATGATGCCCAGATGAGTCAACTCAAAGCCGCTGTCATTGGTGCCACTGCAGCCTCTTCTTCCTTGTGTTTTTGTTCTGTGTATTTCTTGTATCTTGCCAGCAAACTGCGCTGATGTTAAAGGAACATCTGAGGACATGCTGAACTCTGCCCCACTGTTTATCAAAGCCTTTGCTGAAGTGGCCAGTTTAGGGAATAGATGGGTAAATCATGAGGAAAAAAGACAGCTTTGGAAAGACTTGCCTTTCCTGAAAAAGATTAGCTAGATCTAGAAAGCCCTGGTGTATATTAGATAAAGAAGAGAGAAAAGAAGTATTAGAAAACATGAAGCCAGCATTAAAATACTGGGTGACTTCATGGAAAGGATTTGATAGATTTCATGATGTAGAAGAATTTTATGAGGCTTATTTTACAGGAGACTTAGACCCTGGGACCTAAAGATATCTAGGGCCAGAAAATCAGGAAATGGGTAGAGACGTGGTTGGTGGTATGAGACAGATTTTGGAGAACTCTTAGATCATGTCCTTGGGCAATGACCACAATCTGAAGCTGAGAATAGATCATCTATAAACAATTATGCTGTTCTTTTTCTTTCTGTTGTATGATCTGGTGATGTAGCCCCCTTGCCAAGTTCCCTGATCCCCCTTGCCAAGTTCCCTGATTGTAATAGTATATAAGCACTGCTTGAGATGAAGTAAAGTTGCAGCAGCATATTCAACTACATTGAGTGTGTCTGTCATTTCCTCGCCGATTCCTGATTTCTCCTTGAGCCTTCTCCCTTGTTCTCCCTCGGTCGGTGGTCTCCACGAGAGGCGGTCCGTGGCAACAGGAGGTCCTATTTACTAAATTTTCTAAATATTTTAATCCTAGCAGATTAGAACCTGTTGTTCCCAGAGAGGTTAAACATATTCCAAGATCACACAGTACTAATGTTGGGAGCGATATTCAAAGCAATTTCTCCTTTCTGCAAAGCCCATGGTCTTTGCATTCTATTGCTTACCAAATTTTCCTGCTTACCGGGTTTGGCAGCTGAGGCACTACAAAAGGCAGGTTGTTCTGTTGTCCATAAACCTGATATTGCTTCTTCATTTGAAGACTGTTAATCCTGAGAATGTGAATCCTTATTTTATCAGTCCATTGTAATTGCTCTTTTGGATCAAAAATATAATTAAAAACACTCAGCCCTAGGAACACTCAGCCCTAAACCAGCTGTCTCATCCAATTCCTCCACACAGGGCTCAGAAAACCCTGCAGAAGAGGAGGCAGAAAGAGTGTAAGAGTCAGAGGGGATGGAGGACAGCAGGAGAACAAGGCCCTCTAAATCAAATGATCAAGGCTCATATGAGTTCACAGAGACTGAGGCAGCCTGCACAGGGCCTGCACAGGTCTACACCAGGTCCTCTGTGTACATATTATGGCTTCCAGTTTAGTTGTTAAAATCAGATTCTTGAGTGTGAGAATGAGTGGATCTCTTTTTGTGCCTTCTCTTGGCTTCTTTTTGTTTGTCCAATTCTGATGTGTTAGTTTTTGTTTTATCTTATTATATTCTATTATTATCTAATTTTAGAAATTCAACTTTATCTTACTCAGCTCATACCTGTATTCTAATTCTAAAGCTATCACTCAAAATGTGTTGTTTATGTTATACACTGATATATAATACAATTGTGGAAATAAATAGTCTTTAGGTTATAATATAAATAATTTACAAGGTACATTATTAAATAAAATAAGATATACAAAAGTATTATCTCACGCAAATTTATTGAATGGCACATATAGATAAGATTCACCTGTTTCTGCGTCCTAAGTGCTGGAATTAAAGGTGTGCACCACCACACCCAACTATCTGGTTCCTTTAGATTCCTTGGCCTTTTCTCTGGAATAGCTTCATGTAGTTTTTGTCGTGACCAACCTTTAGAACTGTTTTCTCAGGAGTCCACTCTTTTTCTTATTTACATCAAACAGTGTCTGTGAGGCCGACTTCAAGCCTCTGATCCTCAGCTTCCAGACTGAGGGATTTATAGGTGTACTCTACCACTGCTCAAGTAATGATTAACTGGTGTTATGTCTCATCTATTTCTCACACCACTAGAAACGTACAAAGGAACTCCGGAATAGAAAGGGGTTATGGAGCTTTCAAAATCCCTGAAATTAAGTAAATTAAGCATATAACTAGTAGTTATCTGCAAAAGGATAACGTTGTGGCTATCCCCAAACACAGGAGTGAAAAGCAGAATCTAAAAGCCCAACGCGTTTAAATTGCATCTCTAATTAATTGCCACATTGGAAAGGAAAGGAAACAATGGAGACTGTGAAGAGCATGAACTAGTCCCTTGGGACTCCTTCACTGTTCCTTTGTGTCAACCACATGGAGGAGCAGGTTCTTCTGAGAATATAAAATCTCCCCTGGACTCATGCCTGTCACTTTTGCTGCTAGAAGAGCTCTGTGCATGTCTGTGTCCAACTGGGACAGACACCTCTTCTTTTATGGGGTGACTAATTCTTGCCTGAGTAAGTAACTTGGAAACACTCAGTTTCCTTTAAAATTTTTTATATTTTTTTGTTTGTTTGTTTGAGACAGGCCTGATGTATATTGGACTAGTTTTGAACTGTGGCACTAAGGTTGGTCCTGGACCCATGATTTTCCTGCTTCCACCTCCCATGTGGTGAGATTACAGGTGTGTGATACCACACTAAGTTTATATGGTGCCAGAGATCAAACCCAGAGCTTTGTGCATATTTAGAAAGCACTCTTCACAGTCAGCTATATCCCCAGGCCCTCAGTTCAGTGTGTGAGCACACCTTTCATACTTTATAGGTTGGTGTCTGAGCAATCAAATATTTTCTCATCTCAGATAGTTTCACCATATGCCTTATATTTTTCTAAAGTGTGCAATGCAAAAATAACTGCATTAAGGAAATTTTTGTCCTTTTAATTATTTGTCTGCTGAATTCTTATTTGGGGATGAGTTGATATAATTAAAAACTTGAACCTACTGAATTATTGTCAGTTTACTTAATTATTGAAGGAACAGGCTAGATGCTGATTCCCAACAAACAATGTGTTCACCATGGCTAATTTTTCTCTCGGTTCAGACTCAAAACTTTGACTCTCCCTTGGCAAGTGCCTTATCAAAAAAGGAGAATGCTTTATGATTTTATACACATTACTATAACACTTTCCTTTGAGGAAACAATTAGCCTATATCCTCTTTTCTTCTAAGGGTATCATCTACAGTAGTTTAAAAAGAGCCTTGTCTGATGGACAGGCTAACATAGCTACCTTATTGGACTGGCTAACTCCCATATCTCTAGTCCCCTGCTACACTTGATCTTCAGGGTGAATTTGATCTAGTACTCAGGATCAATCAGTTTAATCACCTTTTAGTTTTCTCTTCTTAATATCACTCTGTGCATGTTAAAAATAATAAATAGAACAATTTTATTGTTTCAGTAGAAAAGGTGACCAGATCCCGTAGAAAGCTGAAGAACAGAACCTATCGATGAGAGCTGTCTTCCTCCCAGGTGCTGAAGAGCAGCCAGCAGCCTTCTGCTACCAGGTGAATGGGTCATGCGCTAGGACAGTCCACCCTCTGGCCATCCAGGTCATCATCTACCTGGCCTGCACAATAGGTGTGCTGACCACAGTCCTGGGGAATTTGTTTGTGGTGTTTGCCGTCTCCTATTTTAAAGTACTCCACACTCCCACCAACTTTCTGCTGCTCTCCCTGGCCCTGGCTGACATGTTGCTGGGTCTGCTGGTGCTTCCGCTGAGCACGGTACGCTCTGTGGAGAGTTGCTGGTTCTTTGGGGACTTCCTCTGCCGTCTGCATACCTACCTGGACACGCTGTTCTGTCTCACCTCCATCTTCCATCTCTGTTTTATTTCCATTGACCGTCATTGTGCCATCTGCGACCCACTGCTCTATCCCTCCAAGGTGACAGTCAGGATAGCCCTCCGCTACATCGTGGCAGGGTGGGGGATCCCGGCCGCCTACACTGCCTTCTTTCTCTACACAGACGTGGTAGAGAGAGGGCTCAGCCAGTGGCTAGAAGAGATGCCCTGTGTGGGCAGCTGTCAGCTGCTGTTTAATAAGTTCTGGGGTTGGCTAAACTTCCCTGCATTCTTTGTTCCCTGTCTCATCATGATCAGTTTGTACGTGAAGATCTTTGTGGTTGCTACCAGGCAGGCTCAGCAGATCAGCGCCCTGAACCAAAGCTTGGCTGGGGCTGTCAAGAGGGAAAGAAAAGCCGCCAAGACGCTGGGCATCGCTGTGGGCATCTACCTTGTGTGTTGGCTCCCCTTCACCATTGACACACTAGCTGACAGTCTCCTTAACTTCATCACGCCACCCCTGGTCTTTGACATCTTTATCTGGTTTGCTTATTTCAATTCAGCCTGTAACCCCATCATTTACGTCTTCTCCTACCGGTGGTTTAGGAAGGCACTGAAACTTCTCCTGAGCCGGGAGATCCTCTCGCCAACTATTGATTTGTACCGTGACTGATGCCATGCCACACTCAGCAGGAGGGAGGAGGGTCCTATTGCCACAGGCTGTGGTGTTCCCCTAGTTTGTAGGCAGCTTCCAGGGCTTAAGCGGAGAAGAACAGCATGTTACTTAGTCAGGGAAGAAGTAAAACACCCAGTATTCTCACAGAAAAAAGGACTGAGTGAGGTCATCTGTATACACAACGGGTAAGCAAGAATTCTGGGAAATACCTCGCCTCTGCGTCATTGCTTCCTAGAAACTAAGACGCAGAGGCTGAAGTTGCTGAGCCCTGAGGTTTGATTTCTAAGTTCCTCCCTGCGTGTGTGCTATGTGCACTGGACAGGGGAGAAACTCAGCCTTGACTTTCCCTTTGCCATTGTTTTCTCACTAAAAAATAAAACTCACATTATTTCCTCTCTGAAGTGGCCTGAAAATAAGACAGTGTCTAATGTAACTTTGGGAAACTTTGCCGGAGTCATAATTTCACGCCACACTCAGCAACTGGGGTACAACGCTTGGAAGGGGTCTTCTTAAAATGTTTATTTTAGGATCCTAATCTCTTTAGAACCGGACTATTTAGAGGTATGGAAGCCAAATCTGCCCCTTTCAATGTGGAATCATTTTATATTGTTAAAGGAAAATTTTCTTCCTTTAAAAAAAAAAAAAGGAGAAACCTGAAATATGTGATGGTATTCTGTGACAATTAGCCAGATCTTGGCATTTAATTAATATTCTTCTTTTATGTTTGCATCACACAGACTAAACCTACCATGTCCCCACCAGTCCCAGTGTGTGATTACCAGAGGTAAAGCAAATACTGAGTCCCATTTTGTAGCAGGACCTGAAACAAATATCCATTAGCAATTGTTACTGATAAGAGTACATTCCACTTCTGTCTTTTTTATTTATTTTTATTTTTATTTTTTTGGTTTTTCGAGACAGGGTTTCTCTGTAGCTTTGGAGGCTGTCCTGGAACTAGCTCTTGTAGACCAGGCTGGTCTAGAACTCACAGAGACCCCCCTGCCTCTGCCTCCCAAGTGCTGGGATTAAAGGCATGCGCCATAAAAAAAATTTCCTAAAGGCCTCTAGTCACCTTGCTTCCATGTTTTGCACTGGCTCTGTTTGTGAATGAGTAATTGCTTCTTTGTAAAATTTCTCTGTAAATTAATTTGAAGTTTCTGGAGTCCATTCACATTTACAGGTTTGGATATATGTTTATGGTTTTTCCAGTTTCAATAAACCATGAATGCATGCATGTGTTTTTGAAACAACTTTAAAGTTTTTTGTTTTTTTTAAGATTTATTTATTTATTATCTATACAGTGTTCTGTCTGCACGTATCCCTGCCAGCCAGAAGAGGGCACCAGATTTCATTACAGGTGGTTGTGAGCCATCATGTGGTTGTTGGGAATTGAACTCAGGACCTCTGGAAGAGAAGTTAGTGTTCTTAAGCACTGAGCCATCTCTCCAGCTCCTGAAACAACTTTAAAGTTAAAACTCACAAAGAAGTAACCACTGAGCAGTTTAAGTAAAAACGATCATTCACTTTCAGATAACAATCCTTAAGGAAGTATCTATTACATACTATGTTTTCTCTTATATGTGGAATCCAGATTTAAAATCATATATACCTATGCTATGACTACAGGCTCTAAGAGGCAAATGTCTTTAGACCATTTGGACAGAAGAAAACCTCTCCTGAGATCTCAGTATGATGTGATTCTTTGCTGAGATAACACTCTAATCACCCCTGTTAAGAGGGAATCAGTTGCACTTAAGTCAAGTGCCCTGACTTCTGTGACTTATGGACTCCTGAGCATATGGTAAAGACTGTGGACTCCACCTCAGAATATAGTTTCTACGTGGATAAAATATTTTAAAAGACAGAAATCCAAAGGAAAACAATTATGTTGAAACACATCTTTAAAATGTCTTGGAAATAGCCACACCTGTAACACAGCAATATGTGAAAATACCAGACAAACTCTGCTGGCAGGTGCAATGAACTTAGTAAAATTCAAAGTAATAGTGAGGCAATGCATTACACAATATCAGCAACAGCTGTACTGAGATGGCAGAATATTGATTTGCATTTGTGACAAATATTAGAGAAATTACTAAGATCACTTAGGGTTGTGCCCATATTAAAAACGGGGCAGGTAGACTATTCTTCGTCGCATAGGACTCTCCCTTTAAACATGAATGCCAGGCACTCTTTCAAACACAGTAGCTTTGGATTCAGATGTAAGCAGAAGGCACTAGCAGTGAAATTTCACCACTAATGCCTTAAACAGTGGTGCCTGAGAGCATTGAGAGCGCCTCACTGTAAAAGCGGTCAAAAGCATAATCATGGTGGCAGCGACGGGTGATGGTGTGTATACATGCTTGCTTACATTCGTGTGTGTGTGTGTGTGTGTGTGTGTGTGTGTGTGTGTGTTCTACAAAACATAAATATAGCCTTGGGCCTGGAGAGATGGTCCAGTGGTTAAGAACATTTGTTGTTCTTGCAGAAGACCCATGTTCATCCCCACATTGGGCAGCTTACAAACTGCCTGTAACTCCAGCTCCAAGGGATCCAATGCTCTTCTCTGGCCTCCATGGGTACTTGCACACATGTGGAATATACACACGGAAACACACACGCATATACATATGACATTTACATAAAATAGTAATAAGGTAAAATTTCAAAATATAGTCTAAAATTCTAAGGTGAATTGCCCTTGTTTTTTTTTTTTTTTTTTTTTTGTTTTTTTTTTTTTTTTTTTTTTTTTTTTGGGCCCTAACCAGTTGTTCATTCTCTTTCAATTATTTTATATACACTTTTCAATTTATTTACATTGCTTTCTTCAGCTAAGTCAAACCCATTGTAGCTCAGACAGCTAGTGGTATGAGTGAATAAGTCTCACTTCAAAGTGCATTCTTACACTAGTAATATGTAAGTGTGTGCATATGAGTGTGATATAAGAGAAAGCATCCATCACCTCAACATCAGGCCTGAACACCAGTGACATGTTGACCCTCAGTGACTCCTCTTCTACACTCTTTTAAAAATTAGTTAATTGATTAATTTACATGCTGACTGCAGTTTCCCTTCCCCCCTCTCTTTCCAATCGCTCCCCTCTGCCTTGCCCCTCCCCCAATCCACTCCTCTTCAGTTTCTGTTTAGGAAAGGGCAGACCTCCCATGGGTATCAAGTTGCAATAAGACTAAGCACCTCCCCTTGTATTTAGGCTGGGCAAGGTGACCCTGCTCAATCCATGTACTGTTGTACTTATATGTATATGGTTCAGGACTGACCATTGTGTATTAGATAACCAACTCGGGGCCTCTTCCCTGGGAAGACTATTTCTCTTGCTATCAATGTTTCATAATTGCCTGTAGCTCTTTGAGATCCCATGAAATTCCCCCATCCATGTTATGGTGTTGCCCTTGTTAGTTAGGCAACCATGTTGACAAGACTTGATAGGTGTAGATTCTCTGTCCTTTCTGCAAGACATACTCTCACAGCAAACTTCCTGTCCCTCTGGCTCTTACAATCTTTCTGACCCTTCTTCTTCTATGAGCCCTGAGCCTTAGAGTCAGGAGTTGTGTTTCAGATGTATCAGCTCAGACTGAACACCACTACTTCTCTGTTTTTCCAAGGCAACTTAGATATGGTTCCTTGTTGTAAAGAGCAAATAAAATTCCAAGAGATCATAACATGTTTTATCCTCAGTCAAGGCTACAGTAGGGCTTAACTCTATCCTACCATTTAATCCCCTTCTACCTTTTCCAGGTTACAATAGATTGGCTCTTTTTACCTTCCTTAACAGACTGATGGCGTTGTGCCAGAGTTCTAGGACTTCCTGTGGAGGGGAGAGATGAGGAGGAGTGGGATGGAACACATGGCTAGGAGGACTGGAAAAATGTGGTTAGAGAATTTAGAATGGGCTAGTCTATGTGAATCTTAGGGTTTAGCAACAGAGTTAGAATTTGATTCTAAGCACTGTGGGACTTGAGGGTGGCGCTTCATATTATGAACCCCAATGTCAAATGATAGGGCTAGTCAAGGCTCTAGTGTTAGGAATACCCAGCCGGACTGCGAGGAGATCAGCCAGGACTCGGGGCGGGGTGGGGGGGGGGCGTCCTTTGTACCTGTGTGCAGACTACGTAGCCATGGAGCCCTGGGCTGACCAGGGTACTGCCTGAGTGCATTCTGTCAGGTGACAGAGGCAGGCCAGTATAATGCCTGCATCCTCTTGCTTTCCATGTATCCACTTGCTTTCTCATGTAGCCAATGTCAACCACAGTAGTACCCCTGTCCTCCACAATGTAGTTCTGTCTCTCTGGTCTTTGGCATGGCTAATGCAGTGTTCTATATTGCTGAAGTCTAGGGTTCATTGGCCACCAAAATATAAACCAATAACACTAAGGGAGAAGGTAAGAGGAAGCCGGCAGGGAAACCATTGAGAAAACCTCGGCTATTTTTACCTCTTATCCTTTCCTTCAGCTTACTGTCCTATGGATTTGCAGACAAAAGCCTTTGGGACAGTTGAACAGTTTCTCAGATTTTCGAGTTACTTCATGTAGTGGAAGTACTCACTTCTCACCTGACAGCTATTTTCTCCTCGTGACCGGCCCTTTCCTCCATCAAAGGATCTGAAGTTGCTTAGTCAGGCTTCAGGAAAACCCTCTCGTCTTGCACCCCACCCCCACCCCATACCTAGGGACAAGTTTGACTTAGCTGGAGCCATTTTGGAAACAAAAAGAATCTCAGCATCTTGACTGGAATTAGGTGTTTGAGTCACCGAACTTAAGGCCACACCCACCGTAATTCAACGGCATTGTTATTGGAACGACTGCTAATGTGCTTATGTCAGTTTCTGTCTTTCTCGAAATCCTGGGCGAGACATTTTCACACTGCCACCTGCCATTCATTAAATAAGCCAGGCGGGCAGAGGTTCCAATTGCTCGCTCACTGGCCGCTAGGTGGAGCAGTCCGCTTGGCTTCTGTCGGAGACACCCAGCGTGTCCTTTTCAGGCTGAAGCACCCGGGAAGTTTCTGCTTGAGTGAGCCACGAAATCCAAGCAACTTGCAGTCACAGGGGTGAGGGCAGCTGCCCGGTATAGCGTTCCAGCATCACAGCGCTTCAGTGAGTCAGAAATGAGCATTTGTATGCTAGGCTGTGGAGGACTTGTTTTTGCTTCAGCTATGTCCAACCTATGCCTGACTGGGGTCGTTGACCTGTAGTTGGTTTCAGGGCTTTGGGAAAACTCCAAAATAGGAGGCCGAATACCATGAATACATTATGTGTGTTTTGTGAGTGGAGTGGAAACATATGTTACATGTGAGTATGATCTAAAAGTGATTTAAAAAATCGACAGGATAAACTTACATGTTCTCTAAAGTGTAGAATTTATTAATTGTATTCCTTTGTGGATTACAATTTCTTAAATTTCTTCTTGTTTTTAATTTACTATTTAATTTTTCATTAAATACATGTTATATATCATAATAGTTACATAAAGACATTTCATTCAAATATATCATGTGCTTCAACTGTATTCATCGTCCCATACCCTTCTCTTTACCCTCTTCCCACTAATACTCAAACTCATTTCTATTTTCATGTCATATACACGCAGTTAGTGCACATTCTATATGTGTATGTGTGCATGATTTTCTATGGCTGTAAAATCTAGGATCCACAAATGAGCGAAAATATATGATACTTGTCTCTCTGAGCTTGAGTTGATTCACTTAACATGATGGTCTTTAGTTGTGTTCATTTTTCTTCAGATAATCCAATTAAATTCTTCTTTATCATCTAATAAAACTCCTCCATTGGGCATCTATAATTTTTTTCTTTATCCATTCATTTGTTGGCAGATAGGCTGATCCTATGACTTGGTTCTTGTAAACAAAGCTGTGATAAACACGGATATGCAATGGCACTGTGGTGTGCTGATTCAAAGTGCTTTGGGTGTCCACCCAGAAGTGGTATGGCTAGGTC